TACAAACAATAACAACAATACACAAAGTACCCAGAACCAACATATATAAGACCTGTAACTGAATATGTATGGATAAATATAGCATCAAACATATTACAAACAATAACTACAATACACAAAGTACCCAGAACCAACATATATAAGACCTGTAATTGTATATGTATGGATAAATATAGCATCAAAACATATTACAAACAATAACTACAATACACAAAGTACCCAGAACCAACATATATAAGACCTGTAATTGTATATGTATGGATAAATATAGCATCAAACATATTACAAACAATACCTACAATACACAAAGTACCCAGAACCAACATATATAAGACCTGTAATTGAATATGTATGGATAAATATAGCATCAAAACATATTACAAACGATATTACGTATTACATTTACCATCTACAAAGGGGAGGAAGAGGTCAAATACACCTGACCCTCCTGGGTCTAAATTCGGACAAAGATCACAGGCAGGTTGGCAATGAGGACTTAATGGGAAAAGCAGAAACGATTTGTTATGAAGCAACAGGCCTGTTTAACAACTACAATAACATCACTCACCATGGAAACGAGTTTTGTTAAATGACTTACGCTTCACAGCATTTTGTTTACTTCTTACCATATTCGTTCGACTGGTTCCACACGAGTAACGACGACGCTGAGATCGACCTAGAACGTTCACTACTATAGGTAAGTCAAAGTGAAAAATCAAATTCCCATTTACTGTTTTAACAAGTAAATTTCACGTAGTTAGTAATCAAGATTTCAAATTACATACTTTTTGTTGGAAAAACCTATTTCTGTAAGTTTTCACGCACGAAACTAAGCGCCAATTATTAGCGTCACCTGTGACCGTTCACACTCATACTGAGCCTTAGGCGTATAATAAACACTCATTTATACTGTTTACAATTACAATGTTTGAAATAATTATTTATACAGTGTCACATTTCTTAATTTTGTAATATTTTACATCGAAGTTTATGCCGCTGGCAGCTTGTAAATGGAATTAAAACATATTTTCCTGTAATATATATAGATATAATAATTGATCAGACAGAGGTATAATTCAGAATAATTTAATTAAAAACATTTTTATAGATTGTTAATTGAAAACATGCCAGTTAAAAAATAAACAGGCTAGTGGAATAATCGCAGTTTTCAGTCATTTGTAATTTTGATTCAAAATATTGAAAAGTTGTTGTCCGCGTGTTAGTAGTTATCTTATTTAATGATGGTAACAAACAAAGAGAAATGGCGGGCATGAAAAGTCGAAAATGTCACACCAGACAGTGCATTCCATATTACCAGGGGCGGAATAAGGTGGGGGCTGTAGCCCTAGACTCAGGCTCAAAAGAGGCCTGTTATGAGGTTTGTTTTTCTACCTTAGTCTTTGGTCGCGATCATAATAGGCCCGATAGTAAAAAATTAGCCCCAAGCCTGTTTGACCTTTAATATACCCTGCACATTACGGAAGTGTAATAAACCAAAAAATAACACGTGAGCAACTTGAAAATTATAGAGTCATAAAGGATCACCAGGGAGCGAAAAGACCTTGCCATTGTTGTCAAGGTTAGAATAAACAGATAAGGGAACGTTTCGTATAGTTTGCAGGAGCTGTTTGAAGTCTTTAAGGGATCATCACAAACAGTAAAAAATAGAAGAGATTAAAAGGGCTTGAAAGAAGCCCTTCATCAGCCCAGTCCACAAGAAGAAAAAATACCTTCAGAAGCCATAAGCTTTCTTCAGCAAAGTCATTTGATCATATGATTCCAAACTCCATTTGTTTGACTCAGATGAGAGAGTGACGTTGTAAAGAAAGCCATCAGAAGATCATATGATTCCAAACTCAATTTCTTTGGCTCAGATGAGAGATTGGTGTTGTAAAGAAAGCCATCAGAAGATCATATGAGTCCAAACTCCATTTGTTTGACTCAGATGAGAGAGTGATGTTGTAAAGAAAGCCATCAGAAGATTATATAATCCCAAACTCCATTTCTTTGGCTCAGATGAGAGAGTGATGTTGTACAGAAAGCCATCAGAAGATCATATGATCCCAAACTCCATTTGTTTGACTAGATGAGAGATTGGTGTTGTAAAGAAAGCCATCAGAAGATCATATGATCCCAAACTCCATTTGTTTGACTAGATGAGAGAGTGATGTTGTACAGAAAGCCATCAGAAGATCATATGATTCCAAACTCAACTTCTTTGGCTCAGATGAGAGAGTGATGTTGTACAAAAAGCCATCAGAATAACCTAAATAGAAATATCTCCAGCCAACCATGAAGAGACAACATTAAAGTTTGTGAGTGTATGGCAGCTTCAGGGGTTGTTGAAACTCTACAATAATGGAATCAATAGGAAAGGATAACTGTATAGGGATATTTTACAGCTGAATCTGAATAATTAAGGTAGGAGATGGGATCCCAAATACACATCTAAACTGACACAAGGTTGGTTGGAAAAATACGTTTACTGGATGAAAGATTGACTGCCACGGAGTCACCAGATCTCAGTTGTATTGTGGGATGATTAAGGTTCCAGGATGAAAGGAAGATCTAAGAATAAATGATGAAGAAACGTGGAACACCATTGAACCACAAGTATTGTAAGAATGTGACAAAACCATTGTAAGGTATTGTAATGCAAAGACAGGTCCCAGTAAATGCTTAAAAAAATATACATAAATAACAAAATAGTAAATGAAATGTTTATTTGCCTAAATAAGTTTTTGAGACTGCCTGAATAATTATCTGAACACATCTGTTATAATATACTTGTTTATTGTAGGAGAAAAGTGTTAGTTTTATTTACAAGTTGACCGACTGTATAGTAGATATAAACGAGAAGGATTTTATTCAGAAAATTCAAGTTCAATATAAGTATAAATGTGGCACTGTCTGAGTAACTGTTGTAGACACTGCAGATAAACATTTGTGACCTGTTGGGTTTGTTTGTTTTTAATTTCGCGCAAAGCTACACGAGGGCTATCTGCGCTAGCCGTCCCGTAGCAATGTAAGACTAGAGGGAAAGCAGCTAGTCATCACCACCCACCGCCAACTCTTGGGCTACTCTTTTACCAACGAATAATGTGATTGACCGTCACATTATAACGCCCCCACGGCTGAAAGGGCGAGCATGTTTGGTGTGACGGGAATTCGAACCCGCTACCTCTAGATTGCGAGTCGATCGCCCTAACCCCCTGGCCATGCCGGGCCCGACCTGTTTGGATTCTAAAACTATTATTGTTTTACTTTACTGCCACCTATTAATTATATATGTATATATATAAACCAGAAAAAACTTCCAGAGGTTTTTTATGTCATTATTCATTTTCTTTTTATGATTATACAGTTTACCATGTTCTCTATTTGTTATAAGTTTAAAGTTATTTATGTGAGTTTTTTTTTTTTAAATTTATTTAGTTACGTTACGTTGTCAATCACTGCGTGATTTTTGACTGTCTACTGTAGTGTTTATAATAAAATTATTTTAAAACTTTCAAAAATAAGTATGTCAAAATGTTTCGGGCCTGGAATGGGTTCTAATCCCTATCACCAGACATGTTCGTCCTTTCAGCCGTGGGGCGTTATAAGTTACGATCAATCCCACTATTCGTTGATAAAAACGTAGCTTTCCCTCCAGTCCAGTGTTTCTCAGCCGGATTTACCAGACGACCCCCCGCGTCCGGGATTTTGTCGTCGCGACCTCCATTATCTCAGCCGGATTTACCAGACGACCCCGCGTCCGGGATTTTGTCGTCGCGTCCTCCATTATCTCAGCCGGATTTACCTGACGACCCCCGGGTCCGGAATTTTGTCGTTGCGATCCCCCATTATCTCTACAAGGATGAATAAATTCTTGATGTTTCTTGGCATAGTTCGCCATAGTTCACTACAAAGGTGATATGTGCACCTTCCACACACCTCGAGGACTCAAAAAATAAAAGTAAAAAATGTTGACTCAGCGCAGTCAGCTCGTGACCTCCCTGGAAACCTGCTCGCGCCTCACCGTTTGAGAAACACTTTTCTGTAGTCTTTCACTACTAAATTATGGATGGCTAGCGCTGATAGTCCTCGTGTAGCTTTGCACGAAATTGAAAACAAACCAAAATGTTCCGAAATCTAGCGTCTGCCATTGATTTTCTCTGATGTAATGTTAAATAAAACTACTTTTCTCGCCATTGGCTCAATCACTGAGCTGTTCTGTGTACACGTGTTTATACGAACGAAATCTCTGTAATTGAAGTTCTTTAGTCAGCACGATCGATGCACATATTAGCTCACAGCAGGCAAAAAGAGTAAATCATGATAGTCCTAACGGGATCTACATCATCGCGTGTTTCTCGTGTAATTGGTAAGCTAGTGATATGCGTTTATATATGTGAACCAACTGATTAAATTCAAATAATAACTGAAAAAAAATGTATTTTCCGTAGAAAATAAATTTTAATTCTAGCCACCTTTTATTTTCATTATGAGCGTCGATGTAGAAATAAAATCACAATAACTCTTGCTTGATTTCACACGTACTAGAACCCAGGTCGTGTAATATCGTATAGAACCAAGGTCGTGTAATATCGTATAGAACCAAGGTCGTGTAATATCGTATAGAACCAAGGTCGTGTAATATCGTATAGAACCAAGGTCGAGTAATATCGTATAGAAC